ATTTAAATAAATACACATAAATCATAAAATTTGAAATAAATTGAATAATGAGTTGTATGTGGTGAAAATCTTATCATTTTGGTATATTAATAGTCCCGATCTTGAAAATGACCGGCACTCTGTGTTTTAATTTCAACTCGATAAGTTGTAGATTTTCTTATCGATATTTTGAACTTTCAAGGAGCGATATTCGTCCTATAAAATTTAGAATAAACCTGTAGGTACAGAAAATTTCCACATATTTTGCACAAATGTCTTCTTGTGCAAAATCTGTGGAAATTTGCATGTACTTAAGCATTTTTCTAAGGGGTCCGTTTAATTGCAAAAATGGAATGTGAATGGAAAAAAAATGAATTTCAAGGAATTGAATTACCTAAAACTTGTTTTACTGAGAATTGTCAATTAATTATGTTTGATTGGTATAATTTTTCACCTGAAAAATGTTAAAATTTTGGATCTTTTGGTGTTTGTTTGACTTTTTTTTTTCATGGAAATTGCCCAGTAAATGGATAGAATTTGTTACCATTGGAGATAGAGTTCGTTTCAATTGTAAAAAAAAAAAAAATATTAGAAAACCACATTTCCACCAAAGTGGTGGGAGAACCAATTCAAAGAAAAGCAAGAAAAGGGGGTCACGTGAGGCTAAGAAAGAAAACCAATTTCATGGAATTTTTGGTCAATCGAACATGCAATAACTTGAAAAATGAAAAATAATTTCCAACTTTCATGGAAAATAAATCCTATCAAACAGGCCCTAAAATTTATCATTTATACGAAGAAAAGAATAGCCATTTGAGAGAGTTGAAATCCCAATGAAAGGGTGACGTATATAGCTTAGTTGTCAATGCATTAAATTATAATTATTAATAGTTATTAAATTAAATAATAGGGTTATTTATCCCATACCGCAGTTCTTAAACTAATTTTATTCACTATGTCCACGTTGAACTTAATGATTGGAGCCCTCTCTCTAGTGGATATATACTTTTATTTTTTTGATTAGTACTAAAATAATTGCTTAATTAAGGAGATTCCATTAATCCAACCACTCCATCATCTTGTTTTATTAGAAATAATAATAATAAAAAAAGGTTATTAATGTTAAATATTCTTGTTTGTTTTGAAGTGATTAATAATCCACATGAATTTGATTAGCTAAAATATTTGATAAATGGTCTTCTAATTTTTCTCGAAAGAGAGAAGAAATTATACGACACTTTATTTTTTTCTTGAAATCATATTTTTTAATGAACGTTTCTATGTTTAGATAGTATTAAAACCGACGTTCTCCAAAAAAATTATCAACCGTCACATTCAGTTGTGGCTAATTTAACGTATCAGCACGTCGTATTCATTTCTTTAAAGAAAGGTTTCCGAAATTTAAAGATTTCAAAGTATAAAACATACACGTAGATTTCATATCAAGGCTACTCCTTATCGAGTAAGGAGTAGAAATGAACCATCCATCTAAGGCCCTGTTTGTTTCGAATTAAAATCAGATTTTAGTTTAAATTGAAGTCAAACAATCAATATTAACCACTCCCACTCATTTTCAATCACACATTTAAAAAATTTCTATCACAATCGACTAAAAATTTAATTTTAATCCCCACCAAACACTCACTAAATAAAACTCTTTCTATAAAGATGAATAAACACTCCATCATATTTTATAAAAAGAAACCACTTTAACAAAAATGAAATAATATTATATTTCTAGTTGACGTTTTTAAAAATTTAAAAATAAGTCATTTTAAATAAATTTATTTATTTTTATTTCTGGTGAGGCCACCAAACATGGACTGACATCAATTGGTCCACCGTGCATTGACATATTTCCAAATATAGCTTCTTTCAGTTAATCAAATTCAATGTATACATAATGGAGCAACAAAAATAGCATGGCCAACTTGGTTTTTTAAATAGATATAATAATTTAAAACTTTTATGAATTTTAAAAGGTGTCTCAATAATTTCACATTCTACATTAAAATTATTAAAAATAAAATTTTAAAAGCAATGGCGTCTTCTTTAGAGCCCCGTTTGGATTCCTTTTATAAAGTTAAAAACTGCTTCTAAAATTAAGAAGTCATTTTTTAATATGTTTTGATAATTTTTTGAAAATACTTTGTCCGACTATAAGAACTTTCAGTTTCCTCAAGAAACATTTTTACAAGAAAAAGAAACATTGCCAAACGAGCCCTTTATTATGTTGAGTTGCATAGAATAGAATGAAATGCATGTAACCCGTAAGTTATATGAATTTTTGCGATAGAATAACCTTCATAAAATAATTTTTTCTATTAAAAAACAATGTCATTAGACCATATGCTTAGAGTATCGATATAAAACACAAAATTTTAACAGGAACAAAACAATATTGAATATATAAAAACAGTAATATTAAGGATGACTAAGTTCATTCAACAACGTAGTGACGTACACATGATTTATTGTAATTCTTAATAAAATAGTTTTAGTAAAATATTCTATACGATGGATCGAACTTCATTTGACCCTAATCTTATCAAGAAACTCATTAATTAAAATTAAAAAAAGATAAAAAGTTGAATTTATGAATAAAAAATAATTTTGAAAAATAAAAAAGTTACTTTCGTCTATGAAAACTCCCCAACTTTGCAAGTTGTTACACGCGCCGCCTAAATGCGTTACCTCGTAAAGGGCGGGGAGCGAATCCTTCCCTCCTCCCTTTTAAATTACTCTCTCCCTCCGCCACCCCTCTCCAGTCTCCTCTCTCCATCTCTCTCTATAATATAATACTGCCATTACTGCATACGTGTTGATTGAATGAATAATTTATATATAAATACATATAGAGACACTGAAAGATGTAATTTGTGATTGAAAAGAGTGAAATGTGCAGCAATTACATACCATGAATCCAACCAAGAAACACACACAGACATTGTAGAGAGAGAGAGAGAGAGAGAGAGAGAGATGAATAATGAAATTGTGAATAAAAAATGGTGAACAAGCATTTTCTGCATTATTTTTCTTCTCAAACGCACATGGGTTCTTCAGTTTCCTAATCTATCTCTCACAGCATTTTTCTGGGGTTTTAATGTTTATTTGAGTTTTTCAATTTTTTGTTTTTTCCACTGCACATGCACTTCCCTCTCTCTCTACATACATTTTTTTATGTTCTCCAAGAACTTGGTTATTATTATTTTTCATCGACTGAGTACTTCAAAGAGATTCTTTCAGATCTACAGTGAAAAGTTTGGCCTTGAATGAACTTGCCCTGCCCTTTTGTTCTTCTTGAACCATAGAGGATTATAATCAACAATTCATAAAATGTCAGTATCTCCAGTCAATTTGATTGATTTTTCAATATTGGTTTATGGGTATTTATCCTAATTTTGTCTGCAGTGCATTTGTTTCATAATTAGGATAAATAATTGGAATTGCTCATTGAATATTCGGTTGATTTCCTATTTCTTATTTGAAAATTTATCGTCTATTTATTGGTGGGGAAGCTTAAATTCAATAAAAGCATCTATATTGAATGATATGATTATCAGGTAATTTTTGTCTTATGTTTCATTGAAAGTTTGAAACCAGTACCAGCAATCAAGTCAGCTAATCTCCGTCCTCTTTGCTCAATTTTAAGCTGGGACGAATCAGAAGGATAATTGTGATCTTGAAGATTTTTGGTTCTCGCAATAGGACCTAGAAGGAGAGGACATCTAAGAAATTGTTCATCAACAATAATTTTGTCCTTCACGTTTGAGATGAAATTTCTTAGTTTCTCTTTATCTTATGAGGGAATAAGGGGTCAAATCACACTGTGCTTCGAGGGAAGACAAATTCATTAAATATCTTGTTTGTTTTTGTGTGTGCATTTTTTTTTTTACAAAACTATAGCCATCAGTCCATTCAAATTATTTTACAAGAGGGAGACATGTCATTGGGAGTTATTAATGCGAGTTAAACATAGAGAGCTATTTCCTAGTCTATCTAGGGCAGAATGAAATAATTGTACTAGGGGAGATCCCGCATAGAGAGTTTGAGTAGGGAAGATTCAGGCATTGCTGCAGCAAATTCGTGCGAGAAGGTTTTGCTCGTCTCTGCATCAATTTCCCATAGACTGAGCCTAAAATGTTGTCAGCTTTCACATTTTCTTGAACATACCTCTACCCAAAGAGAAATTACATTTCAATTGATTCTGAAAGAGTTCATTGCTGATAAAGCCCAGAAGATGGCAAGAAAATTAATGATGTGCAGAATGTCACGGTTTTGGTGGCACATAAAATGCATCACCACAGTCGATCCGAGTATGCATAAGCGGATTCCATCTATCAAACACTATTCGCCCCCCCCCCCACCCCCCCAACCCGGTCCCATCCTTCCATGGAAGTTAAATAAGCGCGATGATCTGCCATTTGGGGTTGAATGTAATTAATGTAATTAATAGCATCTTAGCTGTGAGAGATTGTGTACTCATCCGTAAGGCTCCTTGTCTAATTACGTTTTATATGTTATTTTTTTCTCTTTTTTTTCGGGTTTTATTTATGCTTTTTCTTATTGCAAATCATTTTGAGTGTTGGTTTTGGGAGTGAACTTCAGCATCATCTTGCATTTTGAAGGGATACTTCCAGGGTACTGGACAGTATTAAAGAGGATAAAGTAGTTGAGATATTGCCTGCTCTATTGCCAGTCCATTCTACTATGCCAAACATGTCCCTAATAAATTTCATCGTATAATATAGGCGTTTATTTCTTTAATGAACCAAGATAATGATTTAGGCACTTAACTCTCCATTATCATTTTTCTGTGCAGACTTCATTCTGTTCCAACAGCAAAGAAATCCTACAAACATTAAGGCATCACAGTACTCCATATTTTGATAAATCGAGTGTCATGTCCATGAATGGTGGCACGGCGTGCATAAATTTGATATTGGTTAAATTAGTAGTAAAATTATAAAAACATTGTCTGTGATAGAATCAGATAGAAAGGGCTAAAAATGGTTTGCGAAATGGAGACGGATCAACCAGAAGAGATGGATGTTGTCCTCTCTTCAATGTGGCCGGAAGACATAAATGAAGCCGGGAGGCAGTTCAATGTGGAAAGGCCAGGAGCCGATCAAGATATGTTGGAGGAGGTTGTAATCAATGAGGAGCCTACTGTAGTAGATTTTAAGCGCCTTTTAGAGCTTACGAACTACAGTGAGAAAGGTTCTTCGCAATTGGCCTATTTGGTAAAGAATTGGGAATATAAGCAGGAAAATGCTGTAAGGCTTCTAAGAGAAGAACTCGATAACCTTAGCAAGCAACAGCAAGAAGTTGAACTCAAGAAATTAGAGATATTGGAAGAACATCGTTTTGAACAAGATGGATATGGAGGCGATAAGCGCCCGATTTCAATTTTGGATGAAAATTTACGATACTTTTATCATGATACTCCTCGGAGAAAGAATGATGTTATCTTTCAAAATGAAACGTTAGACATTCATGTAGAATATGACAGCACAACATATTGGAAACAGCGAACCATGCATTTAGAGAAGTTGTTAGCTGCAAGTCTCGAGCGAGAGCGGGTATTGCAGGAAAAATTGCACGAAAGTATAGAAAATCTTGAGAGGCAATCCTCTCCAGTGGAAGAACTATCCCAAGTTTTAAAAAGAGCGGATAATTTCTTACATTTCATCCTCCAAAATGCACCAGTTGTTATTGGCCACCAGGTATGTTGCTTGAACAATAATCTTATATTGCTCCTTTCACTGTTTGGCATTTCTGCACGACATTTATGTAATATGTTCACTGGATGACAATATTATCCGTTCTTCTCTTTGGTTTTTTGTTCTCCAAATCTTCTTTCTCTATTTTTTAATTTTTTTCTGGGACAAATCTTCTATAAAGTTCTTTTGTTCTGCTGCGGTATTTAGTTATTTTATTTACGTGTGCTGAAAAGATGCAAGCCTAGAAAAGAAATGAAGGACATAGTTATTTTATTTATTTATTTATTTCGTTCTGTTCTGTATATAACTTTAGACATGAACAATGTAGTTTATCTTAGCTTTTAATATGGTGGATAGCATTATAATCTGCTTCATCAAATTTATGGAACACTGTGATTGACCAAGTTTTCTAATATGTTTCAGGATAAAGAAATGCGTTATCGCTTCATCTATAATCATTTCCCAAGTTTACGTGAGGAGGTAATTAAATAAAAAATAATTTATTTTGATGCAGTTTATAATTTACAAATTCATTTTTTGAAACTCCAATCAGTTTATTCATGGTGGTGGCCGAACTTTTGTCCTTTATGAAGAATGGGGCCCCATATCCATTACTTTCATTTAATTTTATATTTGCTTTTCTGAATCACTATTTTTGGAAGCTGGCACATTAGTTCCTTTAAGTGATGGAATTTTCAGGATATCATAGGAAAAACAGATGTGGAGATTTTCAGTGGTTCTGGTGTGAAGGAATCTCAAGACTTCAAAAGAGAAGTTTTGGAGCGAGGATTACCTGCAAAGAGGGAAATTACGTTTGAGACAGAACTTTTTGGCTCTAAAACTTTTCTAATTTACGTGGAACCAGTGTTCAGCAAAACGGGGGAGACTATTGGAGTAAATTATATGGGAATGGAAATAACCGATCAGGTGAATTTCCGGTCTGAAGTCATTATATTCTCCTACTGAAGTGCATCAGTTGGATAAAATCCGAAACTTTGTTTGTCATCTATGGAATGTGAATGTTAACTTGATTTATAATGACCATCAAGAAAATCTGATTACAGGTGAGGAAAAGAGAGAAAATAGCAACGCTTCGAGAGACAATGGCTGTACAAAAAGCCAAGGAGACAGAGCTCAATAAAACAATCCACATAACAGGTTCATTTACATCATAATGAGTTGTAATGGCTATCTTAGGAGTGAACCTAATAAAAATGTTGCCGATTCATACCCAGTTTTTATTTTACAGAGGAAACGATGCGAGCAAAACAAATGCTAGCAACGATGTCACACGAGATAAGATCTCCCTTATCTGGAGTTGTTAGCATAGCCGAGATTCTTTCCACGACTAAACTTGATAAAGAACAACTACAGTTACTGAATGTGATGATATCTTCTGGTGATCTGGTTCTTCAACTAATAAATGACATCCTTGATCTTTCCAAGGTGGAGTCAGGTGTGACCTCGATCTTTTTGCTAGTTTTTCCGGTTTTCTGTTGTATTTTTACAGCACCATGGGATCTTTGGCGCAAACATATATTTTTACAATCAAGTGCGAAGAATGAGCTTCTAGCATGTTTGGCAAGATTGAAAATTTTATTTATAAGTAGACAATTAAGTTTTTAAAATAAATAATTTTCTTATTGGTCAAAGTTTGAAATAAGTTACTTATTTTGAAACTAAGGTGAGAGTTCAGTCTTAATTAAAAATAAGTAATCCAAACATATTTGGATATAAAAAGTTTAAAGAATCCTTTACTTGTTTTCAACCGTAGACAAACATGCTCTTAATCTTTTTCCATTATTTATAGTTTTCTATTCTATAAGAAATTTAGGACATAGTTGATCTAAATCTCGCAATAGTTACCTCAATTTTGTTTAGGAGTCATGAAATTGGAAGCTACGAAGTTCAGGCCGAGAGAGGTAGTTAAGCATGCCCTGCAAACTGCAGCAGCATCGCTACAAAAATTATTAACCTTAGAAGGATATGTAGCAGATGATGTCCCCATAGAGGTGAGGGAGTTACACACTTTATGTTGTCAGTTGATCCAAAAGTTAATAGAGTTGAGTTATTAAATGCAATTTCGGTTCCAGGTTATTGGAGATGTACTAAGGATTCGGCAAATCCTCACCAACTTGATCAGGTACTCAATGGCCAAAAAATTTCTTTGTAGCATATGGGAGCATACATTCAATATATGCAAGTGCCTCACATTTTTGTTTGGTGAAGTATAATTATATTTCAAAATAGAGGATAGCTCAATTGATTGGATTTAAAACAGTCGAAATTTTTGGGACCATATCCTGTTTGATTGAATTTTCACAATAAATTTAATAGAAGTTTAGTTTCAGTAATTCGTCCATCATTGAAGGGTAAGAATTGTGATCCTTACTAAAAGAAGATATTGATGGTTTACTTTCGAACATATCCATTCAGCTCAACGTGGTTATAAGCCTTGAAAATTCCGATCTAGTCCGTCTCTCTCCTTTATTTGTTTATTTATTTTTTAAGCTGTTATAATCATGATTACAATCAACTATCTTTGTATGTCCTTTTCGACTTATTTGACTTGTTTGACTCTTCATATTGTTGCTATTCTGAAAAAAAAAACTTTGGTGTCCTTTGATTGCTTATGAATACTTTCAAACTTTGTGTTTAACAGCAATGCGATCAAGTTTACTCATGAAGGCAAGGTTGGTATAAAGCTTTATGTCGTAGCAGAGCCACCTAGTGCAATCAAACAAGGATCTGACCAGAAGATTTCTTCAGATCAATCAAAAGTTTTAGCAAATATAAAGAAAGAAGATAAGTGCTTATCAATGTCTCAGAGTATTGGTGATCAAATTGATACTCATAGACCTAAAGATGGAGAAGATACTTATGGAAGTGATACTCTTAGAAATGAACCCAGTGGCCCGGTGAGAAACGGGACAATGATGGAAGAAGACAAAGAGAGCCTTCTCAATACTCAAGAAACAATTGTGTGGTTATGCTGTGATGTCTATGATACTGGGATTGGAATACCTGGTATTTACTCTAATTTGCTTGAATACTTGCTTTGAAAAATCCATGGCATGTTTGGCTAAGCTAAAAAGGTTTATAGTTTATTACAAGTAAATAAGTAAGTTTTACAATAAACAATCTTCTTACTGATTAAAATTGGATAGACATTTGTTATTTATTTGGATTTTGCTACTTGTACACAGGGGTTGACACCTTGGTGTACAACCCTCTCACAATAGGGGGCCCATGCCCAATAAAAAAATCGTGCGCTCCCCTATTGTGTGGGGCCAGTATACAATCCCGGTGTACAAGTAGCAAAACCCTATTTATTTTGATAGCAAGGTAAGTGCAACTTTCAAAATAAATAAATTCTTTATTTAGAAGAACGGAAAAAGTAACTTTTCTAAAACATGTTTGGAAATAGAAAGTTATTGGTTATTTTTACTCATTTTTAAGCTCAGTTGCATGGTCTTAGTGCAGATACCATTGGCAGTGTTATTATTCTTGTTTGATCTTTAATTGATGGATGTCTATATTAATAATGGATATGACCTTTCGCAATCTTGGTGCAACAGAAAATGCTATACCCACCTTGTTTAAGAAGTACATGCAAGTTGGCACAGATACTGCTCGAAAGTATGGTGGGACGGGATTGGGCCTAGCAATCAGTAAACAACTGGTAATCTGTCATGGCCTTCTGCTGCACTTTGTCCTAATTTACTTGTCTAAAATATTGCATATAGTAGGTTAGAAGTATAATTATGAAAGCAATTTCACTTCAATAAATATTCATTGTGAGTTTTTTATTTTATTTTGTGGGTATATATGTTTAACTTGAATTATATTACGAGAGTCGAGTATTGGTTGCATCAACATTGTTGTAGGCTTATTTATTAGTGTGCACCAAGGTGAAGCTTTCGGCAGGTGTTCTCACAAACAGTAAATTTTATTCGTATATGAACAGGTTGAACTCATGGGTGGTCATTTAACTGTCTCCAGTAAAGAACAGTATGGGTCGACTTTTACGTTTGTACTACCTTACAAGGTTTCGCTAGTGTGTGATAGTTCCAATGATCCCGATGAAACGACTGATACGGCCAACCATGATGTCTCAAACGATGCAAATGATGATGATTTACATTCTGGCATTTTTCTGTTCCCACCTCGAACTTTGGGTTCTTTATTTTCTTCTCAAGTCTCCGGACGGACCCAAAAATTCTCACCACCCATTTATGGATCTAATGCCTCGACTAAATGTAGTGGACTGTTGGACTCCTATTCATTCCCCTCTTATAACATTACATCTAAAGAGAATAGCTTAATGGAAGATGTCAGTTCAGTAGGTGGCTCTATTGAGACATTATATGAAGCCAAAACTTCATTGAGGAATAGCTCAGATTCAGACATCCCACGTACAAGTGCAAACCATGAGCAGTGTCCTGGCAGAAGAGATGATAATTTCATTCTGTCTGCTCGTTCCACTAATTCCTGCAAGGGTGAAACTTCAGAGATTATTGTTTCTCAAGAAGTAACTTGTAATATGCAGACTCAGTCTAATAGAAGTTCTGAGTGCTCTTCGAGCAACAGTCCAGAAATCCCAAAATCTGAGTTGAAGTCTAAGATCCTTCTTGTAGAAGATAACAAGATTAATGTTATGGTAACAAAGTCAATGATGAAGCAATTAGGACACTGCATTGATGTTGTGAATAACGGAGCAGAAGCTGTTCGTGCAGTTCAATGCAAGAGCTATGATCTCATTCTAATGGTACGTATATAAAAATCACAACGGACGTAAAAAATGTTGTTCCATACTTGTCGCAATGATTTCCCCAACCCCATTAAGTTAGTTTGTACATTCTCTCCTATAATTCAGGCCCACAGACTTAAATGTTCAACGATATTTTCAGCATTTTTGATATCCTTTATTGTGCATCTTTCAATGTTAAACGGGGAATATTTACAGGACGTATGCATGCCAATAATGGGTGGTCTTCAAGCAACAAAACTTATTCGATCCTTCGAGAAAACCGGTAGTTGGAACGATGCAGTGAAGGCTGGAATCGAGCTTGAATCACCTCCTGCAGGTTCTTCACCAAATTCACGAGAGCTAAAAAGTTATAGAAAGAGGATTCCTATCATAGCGGTAAGAACTTGATTTTCAAATGTTAAGACTTGTTTGACATGGTTTTTGAAAGACTAAACGCTGCTTCTGAGACTAAGAAGTTGCTTTTGGAATTATTTGGATAATTTGTTGGAACTGTTTTGTCTTAAAAGAGCTTTTAGCTGAAAGTACTTTGTCTTGTTGAAAGAGTTTTTAGAGGAGGCTATCCCAAGGTGGCTTCCTCATGAATTTCTTTTACAAAAAGTAAAAGCAAAATCCTTAACACACGTGCCCTTAGAACTGGCATTTTTTCTTTGCTTGCAAATTATGATTTCTAATCGAGAAATCTGACGAGACATTCAGTTTTTTCACCCACTCATGAATTAGTCGATACATTTTCAGATGACGGCGAATGCATTATCAGAAAGTGCGGACGAGTGTTTTGCAAATGGTATGGACTCGTTCGTGTCGAAGCCTGTTAATTTTCAAAACTTAAAACAATGTCTTCATCAATATTTGTCGTAATGTTGTCTGTAAATGCTTGTCTTGTATAGAAAATGAACGCATTAGGAAAGTTTTGCAATTGATGTATAATGTTTTATAAAGGGCGTTTCTGTTTAGTATCTGTAGATTTGTTTGTATCTTCTTGCTACACTAGAGCTCTTTCCCAGTTTGCCCCAAGTGCATTTTGGTTAAGACTAAAAAATAGAAGATAAAAGAAAGTAGAAGTATTATGAGAAAAGTAATCAAAGACTTGCTTTTAAACAAGTTTTAAACAAAAAGTTCCATTTTTTGGCAAAAATTTAAGGAAAAAAGTTACTTAAAAGTAACATCTAAATTGTATATGTTTGGCTAAGGTTAACCAAGCATGCTCTTGACGCTATATTCATTCTCTTTTTCCGGGATTTGTTTTCCGTATCATTTTGCAACTTTCATGACAGAAATTTCATTAGAACACGGGGGCATGAATATGATGGATGATCTATGGAATATTAATGCATGTTTGGCACCTATTTATTTGTAATCGACCAAATTACTTTTCATCCACTCAGTCCATGAGAGTGGTACTCACAAATAGTACCTACCAATTATTTCTATCGATTTAGAATTTAAACTATTTATAAACAATTCCAAATCATGTTTGCGTTTTTTTTTTCCTTATCGGGGGTGGAGTTGCTTGCTTGCCCATGCTTAGAAGGTAATTTTTGCAAAAAGTAAATAAAATAGAAATCACAATTATTGAATAGCACAATGATTCATTCGCAACAACAAAATGAATAGTGTATAACGTTCTAAGTTACGTTCCGTACACAATATTAATGGAACTGAACACGTAATGAACTTTTCAAGTAATTTCCAATACAGTAATCATGACTGTTCAATCATGTGTCGACATGTGTCTTCCATTTTTGAGCATGTTTGTATAGCATGATTGTTTCCAGTACTACACACCAACCTCTGACTTGACAAATAAATTCAGTGACAGCTCATCTGTGTATATACATGGATCAACATCATATGGTAGTTAGAATCAGTACTGCTTTTGCGAGTAAAACCTTGCTCAAACATGAATTCATCTTGGTGTAGATAAGCATATTACATCAAATTAATGAACTCCATAAGCAATTGTTTGTTTAATTTTCATCGCAAATTTTGAGTTGGTTGAACCATACAGAAATAAGCTCACACTACACTCACTCGTCTCTTGCGGCGGGATCTAACCCAGCAGAAGGACTGTCAGCAAAATAATCTTGATGCTTGACATTCACACCATACTGCAAGTCACATAGATGACAAAAATCAAGTTACAATATCAGAAAAAAAGAATTTAAATATAATACCAAAATGATCAGAAAACCATCTAAAGGTAGTTATGAACATCAAAACCAGGTGCTGCAATGGTTGAGTAGTGTTCACGAAGCATAATAATACAAAGTTAAACAGAAAACTAGCATATAACCGTATGCATTTCTAGGAATCAAACAAACAATTGTCAAAACACCAAAATATCTTTCGAAACTCAATAGAGAAGTATCCTCTTTCAAAACACCAAAATATCTTTCGAAACTGTATACAAGTAATTTCAGCTGCAAAGTTTCAAGCAAGCAATAACCGTTCGCTATATCCAAACTGTTTACAATCTGGAAATTTTTATTATTCTTTGTTGTAACTTCGAAAATGAATTTGAAGGCTCATTTTATCTAAATCGTGTCCTAGTTTTTTTTTAAAAAAATAACCGTGGATGTTCGGACCAGCTAGCGTGCACCTCGTCTAATCCCACGAGGCCCTGAAGTTTACGGCCGGATACTCACCTCAGTGGTCCTGAGGGGACTTGAATCGATGACCATTGGGGAGCAAACTCAAAATCTGATCAATTGAACAACCCCTCAAGGTTAAAAAAATCAAGTCCTAGTGAACCACGGATCTACAATAACATTTATCCGACGGTGAATTTACTCATTTTTTCTATGTTATTTTTAATTCCGCAAGTCATTAGCCTCTATAGTTCCATTCAAAATAAACATCATAGGGACATGCAAAATATTATGAACTAATGGTAAAATTGATATCATGCCAAAAGATGGGATTCTTGCAGTAACACGATGGAAAAAAAAATTATGACATCTACCTCCTGCAATGCCTTGGAAAGATCCTCCATTGTCAATATGAGTCGCTTATCCTGTTACACAGAAGCGTTAATCCTACCCATAACAACTTGAGATAAAATGAAGTAAATTTATATTACCTTTTGCTGCTTATCTCTTTTGTCCTTGACGACAGCTGCCTGCCTTGCCTTGCACTGCCTGCATTGACATGCAAGAGAAATATTCCAAGAGCATCATCAACATCAAATCAGAAACCAAAAGAACAAGTATTAAACAGTGTTACAGTGTTAAGGAAGAATAATGTATGGTTAAATGCCGGTAAAAAAGAATAACAAAAACTTAAACATTACCGAAGCCCTACTTTTCATCTTAAGACAGAATAAGCAAATAGAAGAAAACAAGCACATACTGAAGAGCATCAGTTGCCACGTCAGCAATAAATTTCTGTGTAGCAACTGCCACCAGCCTTGTCCTATGACAATGAAACAGACCATGATAAATCGGAATGAGCTATGATTGAGAAACAGAACAAAGAACATGAAAGAAACACACCTGGAATAAAAAATAAAAAATAAAATTCTATTTTCACCTCAACTATCATATTAAGGGTCTTGGTTTAGCTATGACATCCAAAACAAACCAACAAAAACAAGACCCCATATTCCAAAATTAAATGTATTCTTCAAGAACTTCACCAGATAATGAAAAATAAACAGATCAATTTCCTTCTCACATAAACAAGAATAATATTAATGTTGGAAACTCATGTAAATGAAGTACCCAGAATAAGAGACACACATACGAGACAAATAAAAAGCAAATTCCACTTCCTTTTTTTATTGATAGCATTTTTCTCGTCAATACTGGCAAAAACATCTCTTAATGAGATTCTAACACCGTGCCAATTGTGCTTGAAGAAGAAGAGCAAACCAAACGAAGCATGCCCAAAAGTAAACCCACCCTTGGATTGCTACCAAAAACACCATCGGATTTCAAAGTAGCACAATCTAATTCAAAAATTTCACCAAGGAGCACGTCTAGCAAAATTTTTCATAGTTGCAGGATCACTATAACTGACTCCATAGAGTGCACTGTTGTAAAACTCATCAATTACACCTACTTGTTCAACATTATACTTCGATTTTGCCCTTCTAAAAGGAACATTAGCTCTTAAAATTCTGTCACCTCCTACCAAAGCGACCGGAAATATTTCAAAAAAAGTAGCATAGGCAGGGGCAGAGCCAAGATTTTTTGTCAAGGGGGGCACAATTTACCTGATAATGAACGTTAAGTTTTTGTCATGATAGTAATGATAATAAAAATATAAAACAATATTACGACAATACTAAAAATGACATAATTTATAAATTATACTTGTTCCTTTCGAGTTTTCATGCTTTGATATCGTTGTACAATAACTTCATTATCGAGCTTCAAAAATATATTTTTCTCTAAATAAACAATTGTGCTATCATTCATCCACTGATCACCCATTCGATTACGCAATCTATCCTTTACAATGCTCGTTGTAGAAAATACTATCTCCACAGTAGCGATAGCAACTGATAGAATCAATGCTAAGGTCAAAAGCTTGTAAACTAATGGATATACCATATTTTTCTTTATCAGAACTAACTTTTCTGCAAGATCACCAAGGTAGTTCAACCCTTCAAACTCTTTGTTAGAGCACATGTCAAAAATATAAGTCTTAAGTTAATCATGAATTACAGCGAGATCTAATATAGAGAAATCTAATGGATAAAGCTCAGCAAGTCGAATCAAACTTTTCTTGTCAAAAGAAGAAAATGAATCTTGTGGACATAAACAAGCTACACACGAGTAACTCCGTATTTACCTCCGAGAAAAGATCATTCAATTCTTGAAGTCGAAGATCGATGACAGAGTACAACAAATCTACCTGATAATGATGTAAATTTGTAAGTTCTGGAGGGTTAGGTTATGGGCGACCACGAAGTGCACGATGTACGAACATATCATCCATGCCGAGTACATCAATATAATGCCGTTGACAGAAACAACATACTTCTTCCCAAAAGAAGTCACACCCTTCATCTCTCATTATTTGTAGTCGTTTGCATAATTTCACCAATTGCATTGCATTCTCAATATCTTGATCTTTCCGTTGTAATGCTTTTGACAGTTCATTTGAAATCTCCAAAATACTTCTCATCAACTGTAAATTAAATGCAAAATCAAATGTCTGTATTGACTCCAATAAATTTGTCGCGTCGGATCTTTGGTCACAAGAACAAGAGTCATCTTCAACAATCATTGCAAGTACATCAACAACAGAAGAGAACATGACAAGTAAGCTGATCAATGAATTATAATGTGAACCCCATCGCATATCACCAGAATGTTATTGGTTGTTTCTTGATTAAGTCCTCTTCCACTTAAAATCTCACCCTTCTCCAATGCCTCAACAATAAAGTCTGATTGCTTCTCTCAAAGAAGATCACAGCGTTTAGAAGATGCTCCAACAGTATTTACCACATCACCGACTACACGAAAGAAGTTAGTAATAGAAATATTCTTCTTCACAACAGCTACAAGAGCTAGTTGGAGTTGATGAGCAAAACAGTGAATGTAAAAGGCACACGGATTCTCCTTTAAAATGAGTGCTTTTAGACCATTAAATTTACCTTGCATATTACATGCCCCATCACAACATTGTCTTCTCAATCTAGACATGCTCAAGTTATATCTAGAAAATACATTATCAATTGCAGCCTTCAATGATAGAGCCGTGGTAATTGTAACATGTTCAATCCCTATGAAGCGTTCATTCACATGTCCACTATTAACTAAATAACGTATTACAATTGACATTTGCTCCTTCATTGACATATCACGAGATTCATCAAATAGAATATAAAATAATGAATCGCTAATATTTTTGATAATAACATTGATTGTCTCAACGGCACAAGCATTTACTATATCCTTTTGAACATCAGGTGATGTCAATTTTCAATTTTGAGGAGTATTTCCAAATGTCACGGCATTAACATCTTCATTATGAGCAGACAAAAATTCTAATAGGACTAAAAAATTGCCTGGATTGAGAAAATCACTGGACTCATCATGTCCCCGAAATGAGTGCCCTTGTCGCAATAGAAGTCGAACACAATCAATAGATGCATTAAGACGGGTAACACAAGCACTTCTTACTTGTTCTGACTGCTTGTATAAAACTGATTGAATGTGTTGGTCTTGATTCATCAAAGCTTCGCACTTAATGCGAGCTTGATTATGTGCACTATCATGTTCTCCAACATGAATATGAAGCTTTCTTTTCTCTTTTCAACATGTGAAACCTTCACCAACAAAATACTCACCCTTACCTTGCTTTCCAGAACTTGATTTAAAAAGATAACAATACAAACAATAAGCAGCATCTTTTCTACACTATACTCCAACCAAGAACTAAACTCTTTAAACCAAGAAGGATTAAATCGTCTAACTTTTACTACAAATTGTCGTTTTGGAAAGTCACGATCACGTGGTCGACAAGGACCCATTAACATATATGCTCTTCGAACTTGATCTCATATGTTAGCATTGTAATCCAAAATGGGTATCCTTATACCAGGATCAGTTGGAAGTTTATTGACGTCAAATTCCACATTATTCGAAGTCGCCCCAACAACATTTACGTTGTCCAAGTCGGTTATTCTTTGAAAGAATCTCTTCATAAGATTTCAACAATTTCAATTCAACAATACCTAAATTTCAGCAATACCCAATTTCAACAATACCTAAATTTTAGCAATTTCAACTCAACAACCGGTCAACACCCAAATTTCAACAATACCCAATTTCATCCAATTACTACTCAGCAATACCCAATTTCAACAATACCCAATTTCCTACTCAGAAGACAGCAATACCCAAATTTCAACCATACCCAATTTTAATTCCATAACAGTCAATCTCTAGTCTCTAATCTACTGCACAAAATTAAACTTCTATGTTCGGCTACATTTACCAAAGGTTAAACAAACAAACGAACATAGAGCTTTTACCAAAAATTAAAAGACAGAGAAAGAGACTTATATATAAACTATGCCTTTGAATCTGAAATTGAAATCTTGAGTAGAGGAGGAGAGCAAAGGAGGCGACTACGAGTCTGCGAGGTGGACTGGTGGAGGCGACTGCGAGGATGACTGTGGAGGATGGAGTTGTTGAGGCTGAGAGGAACGAGTCCGGAAACGGAGGCTTCAGGTTGCGAAGTGGAGGTTGAGACTTGAGAGCACGGGAGCAGTCGATTGAGCAGAGGAATGAGAGGATGGCGTAATTTGATGAAGATGGAAAGTGGAAACGGAAGTCAGGTTTAAATGTTTGGGCTCTCTCTTGGGCTGGACTTTAACTTTAAAAAAGAAAAAAAAAAGTTGAGGAGTCCAGAAGTTGAGGGTGGGCCGTGCCCACCCTGGGCCTTATTGGGCACTGCTCCTGGGCATACAAAGTATAAAAAGTTCACGCCCTTCTTTATCTCTAACGATAGGGTGTCCTAACCATCCAACCGCTATTCCATCTCCATTATCCATTGAAGCTACCCTGAATAATCCTCCTTTTGCCGGATTATTGCCAATATAATCATAAAAAGCTAATTCTCCAGGAATTTCAGGCCAGGTTTCTGATAAACTTTGATTTTCTGCTAGCCCAGCAATAACTCTTCGGAATATTTCTTGCTGGAAGTAACCTTGATCCCATTGTCTGGTACAATTTGGTAGGCTTGCATATATACATATACAGAGAGGCACATAAATTCTCCAATTATAAGACACATCATATTCCTATAATAGAAATGAATCTACTAAAGGTAAATACATAATCCGCCACTACCCATACACATCATAAAGATTTCCTAAACTTCATTTATTTCCCCTATATATTTCTAATATTATTCCAATAGCTACAAAAAATCAAGAACACTGCTGAAATAAAAAACTACCCAAAAAAATTTATTTAGGTATTATTTTAGTAGTGGATTTTGTAAAACTTTTTTAGGGTTTAATACTTACAATCGGACATCAGGGCATTGGAATCCACTTTTCGCTAAATAATGCTCCACCAATTCATCTGGAATCTATTAAAAATTAAAAATTAAACATTATAACTATAATCATTCAATTCTTATGAATCTTTGTATGCGTATAAAGCATGTATATACATGTGTAATGATTCTTACAGTGGGTGTATAATCCATTAAAGAAGCTAGAAAATCGGTGAGTGCAGCATCATCGTCGTGGCGGCCGTCGCTGGGTTGCTGTTGGCTGCTCTGAGCGTTCATCTTCTCTCTCAGTGGCGTGTGTGGGGTGTTCAATAGAATCGTTTCCGTTGAAGAAAGGTCAACTCTTAAAATCAGCAAAATCTTGTTTTATTTTTTAAAATTTGGATTATGTCCTCAATATATAGCTTTAGTAGCAAAATGATCATCTATCTATAAAACCGATCAGTTTGGTCTTTAGTCTTTCTTTCTTGGTGCGGAAATTGTCCAACGTATTGTAAAAATGCACGTGCAATCCTTTTGATAGTTGGAGGTGGTGTGAGAGCACGTGTGTATCTTTGTAAATTGTATGTAAATTGCAATGAATTGGTTTGGTTTTACAGTAGCTCAACTATCTATAAGAGAGAGAGAGATTATCGAGTACAAATTTATTCATTCGAACACATCAAACATATGAAAAGTATAAAACGACTTACTTTCTTAAATCTCAAATCAAGTTCGGACGTTGAATTGGATATGCGTCATTGTCTACTTTATTGTTGTTGATGCCATGTTCTTGAAAAAATAAATAAATAGAGTTTGGATGATTGTTGTATTCCATTTCTAAGTTGGATGCTTTCTTAAGTAGTCGTATTTATTTTGATTGATACAATGGTCGCAACGTTTTTTTAGGGAGATGAACAATAGTAGGCATTAAAAAAAGAGAAGCTAAGGAGGTGTTCATTTTCCTATTTTCGAGTTATTTTCAATTTTATAAAAACACTCAAACGCATTTTCCAATTTTTTGCTTTGAAAAACAGTTTTTCAGATCTACAAATAAAACACGTTTTTGCAATCTTAAAACAGATTCTTAAAAACAAAAAAAAACTGATAATGAATTAAAATTTCAAAACTAGAAAACCGAAAACGCAAACCAAACGGAACCTAAAATCCTATTCATTATTTGTACCATCAAGTATCACTGTATCACGAACTAACATGTCCTAACAGTAATAAACCTTAAACTTCTGTAAGAGCCTTTTGCATGATGAGTAAATGAATGACGGGCTCAAACGAGCCAAAGGCAGGCAAGGCCTGGCCTAGGCTGCCTAACCCATTTGACACCTCTTTTATACATAACGTTAACCTAAATAATTATAATATTCAATTTTTGTAATGAAATAGAAATAAAAACAATGCAAGACTGGTAAAGAACAATACAAATATCAATAACTATTATTGCCAAAAATGAAAAAACTGTGAATACCATCAGAAAGTAGATAAAATACAAGACGTCTCAAAGAAGGTATTTTATGTAATGGAAGACAAAAGACAACAGAAAAGAACTCATCTCTATGTTTAGAACAATAAATGGCCATCAACTACTGCTATTTGCTAATCTACCAAAATTTGTAAAAAAATGGCTTTGAATTGCCAAAAACTTAATGTTTAATAAATGTAAGCGCATTGTAAAGATCATCGATCAGTATCAGGGTCGTCAAGTTCCGTATCAAAGTTATTTCCAAGTTGTTCAAACAAACTAGTCAGCATTAAGGGCTTCGAGCTGCCTTTTGAGATCTTCAAGGTCATTGACCGGATTAGCAGACTCCTCTGAGACTGGTGGTTTTTGAAACTCATCTGCACTTGGAAGCTCGTGGATGATACCCTCCGGAAGAGGACCTAAGTATAAATGTTTTTTGGAAGATAATTAAGAGAAGTAAACAACCAGTTTGGTTGCCAAGAACATTTTGTAAAGAAGTCTAAAATATCACTAATATTAGTTTGTATCATGTTAAAATCCGAAATCTGTATTTATGGGAAACATATTGTAGGAAAGATTGTATAGCTGTAAATCTTCTAGGAAATCAGTGATTATTCTAGTTACCTAGTTTAGCTCTAGATTTCCTAGAAGGTTTCCTATTTTCTAGGATTAGTTTCCTATTTTTCTGGGTTTCCTATTCTTTGTATTGGCTATATAAAGCCGTGTAACTATTCAGATTTTAATATGAGGAGTTAAAATATTTTTCCCTCTAAACTTTTATGGTATCAGAGCCGTAGGTTTAGCTTTTCTTTTCTGCCATGGCCGAAACCACTGAAATCAACCCAAATGTCTCTATTCA